ATCTGTAACCCCTTACCATCACCATTTGGAATTATTTGCCTACAGCCACATATTCATATACAAGGAACTGATGACAATAATGTCTCTTCTGACAGTTCCAAGGCTTTCAGGGTGGATCTGTATTGCAAGTGTTATCCCTTGGACGTGAAAGGTGATGTAGAGCTACATTACACATTGATCTGTGTACTTCCTAAATGTTATTATAGAAAAGTGTTATTATAGTGTGTTACATTCCCTAATTACTTACAAACAGTTGTGAAGTTAAGCTATAAACTAATTTCTATGACAACCAAAAATACAGTCAAAATATGGCTTTTCTAGTATGGCCTACATCTGTGGTACAGAAGTTTTCACCACATATTGGAAAAGAGAATTTTTGCCTTTTTCCTTTGAAAACCTTGAGATCAGCATTTCTCTTGTTAGTGTCAGACCTTTTCAGACAAGAGGCATCTTTCAACACTGGCAGGGCAGGTATGATGGAAAAAGACAAGAGCTGTGAAAAGAAGAAACTACCAGGCAATTCCTGTGCTTTTTAACTGAAAGCTGTAGCAGCAGGCCAGCCATCGTGAACGTAAATTCTGTTACAGAGAAAGTGTCACACAGACACAGCAGGAATGAGTATGGGGTAGTAGAAAAACAACTTGCTGCTATTCTCACGTCCCAGTGAATTTCACCTACAACCTGCCATTGCCCAGAGATTTGATAGGACTTGCAGTGACATAAAATGAACACAATTCTGTATTGACACAGAAAATACTGAGGGAGTGAAGAAAGATACCAACTGGACTGTTTTACAGATCAGCAACTTTGCTGAGTGATTTCATCCTGAGGTGCAACGTTTCCATTGAACCTGAGTTTGGTTCAGTTGAGGAAAAAAGGCATCTGCAAATAAGTTATTAGCTCTACCAGTTCTTTCTCTTGCTATCTTGCTGCTAAAATTTTGCATTTCCTTCACACTGCTCATTTGTTGTAGATAGCTGTAAGTGAAATGTCAACAGGATTGCTTCTCCCCTTCCCATAAAGCTGGGGAAAATTACCTCTTCAAGTCTACTGGACTTTCCCTCTGCCTGTTACCAGGCTCCTACTGCTCTCACAGAACTGTTGTTGCTGTCTTCTAGCTCAAAGTTTAAAGAAACTGGAGTGACTGCGCAAATAAGGTTGGGACAGTTTTAGAACTGAACTTAGGCATACGCAGGGAAAGAACCAGCAAAGGGTGCCTGAGGAGATGATAGAATTTGTGTTTGCAGAGGTTTCTGAACTTGACAAGGTCTCCAGCTGTCTGCTTTAAGTGAGCAAAGGGTTTTACTTGGTGACCTCCTGAGATTCCTCTCAAACTGAATTATCCTGCAAGTATAAAAGTAGAAGGACAAGATGAAATAGGAATGTAATCACCATGGCTAGGTTTCGGGAACGAAGATTTGGGAAGGGCTCTACCCACATTTGCTACAAGCACGTTGGTGGCTAAAAAGGCCAATGCGAGACAGACAGGTCAGCTTGCAGAAGGCACAGTGGAAAGATCGCTTAGGTGGTATCGACAGGACACGATTCTTTCTGTGTTGTCTTTTCTCCTCGAGAGTGATCCTGCGTGTGTTCTCAAAGGAAGCAGCAGCGTTATAGATGGTGTGTCTCCAGACCTCCCGACTGGAGGCCAGAGTAGACCAGTTATGTTGATCAATATGGCCAAGGCTGAGAT